TTCCCTGTGTTATAGTTATACTATTTATATGTTCAAAACTGGTAAGTGAGAGTAGTTGTATAACAGGTTCTTATTTTGGGATATTAATATATATGGGTAATATATGCACATGAAATATTTTGGCAGGTTCTATTATATTATAATATAAAGAAATATTTTGGGTGTCACTTCATCGAAAGGTGCTCACAGTAACTACAACAGTCAGTTTGCTGTTTATTGTCGCATATTAATGTATGATTACAATATAAAGTTTGATTTCAGTCCATTTAAATGTATTGGATAATTTTGTTTGTATATAAAATTTGAATATTGTTGTTATAATATATTGGATTATAATGTTATTAAACATTGTTTGCTAGAAAAGAGAAAAGTTACTGGGAGCAACTAAACCTATACTGAGAGTTTTGTTTTATTTACAAATGTATTATACCAAGGATTTTGGTACAGAAATGTTTTAAATTCGGTCGAGCATGGTGAGGGAGAATTTAATTGGTGTTTATTTGGTTAGTTAGCATTTTCATTTACTGATGACAAATATATATGACTATGCACTGTATGTTAAAACTGGGTAAAGGTATTATAAACTATTCTGCACTACAAATATGTTCTTAAAAAGATCAAAGAAAAACAATTCAACCTTTGCCTAATGACTCATTTATCAAATAATACGTTTTAATTTACAATTTACATGTTAAGAGTGTTAATTTGTACCACTTTGAAAAGGTTTCTCTCTAGTACCACTTAAATTTTATTGTATTGACTACATTCCGTTTTCAGAATGATTCATACAATATTATTTCAAGCATATATTTGTGTTTGATCTTAAGGGTAAAGGGTAAAAATGATCAATACATGTATAGGTAAAAAAATGGAACTGTCACCATTTCACAAACCACAGACATGATAGGTACATGTAATTCCTAAAATTTTTGCCTTTAGACCAAAACAAACAGAACGTGTGTTTACTGTCACACGATGATAAAAATTAGGGTCAGAAGGTACAGTACTTTTTACCTCGAGTCTATCAAGGAGACATTGCGGGGGTTAGAAATAAGTTTTATGATTTAGTAGCCCTTTGACTAGTAAAAATTAAACTAGAGGCTCTCAAGAGCCTGTGTCGCTCACCTGTATTTACTGATGCTTTGGAAATCATGTAAAATAAGGTTAAAATCATAATTAATAGTATTAGATATTAGATATTATAATGATATCTAAGATAATACATTTGTAACAAAAAAACTGCAAAATTTTTGTAAAATTACTAACTCAGGGGCAGCAACCCAATATCGAGTTGTCGGATTTGTTTGAAAATTTCAGGGCAGATAAATCTAAATCTGATGAACATTTTTGCCACCTGTCAGATTTGCTCTAAATGCTTTAGTTTCAGAGATATAAACCAAAAACTGCATTTTACCCCTATGTTCTATTTTAAACCAAGTTGGCCATGATGGTTGGAAGGCAGGTCATCGGACAATTTTTTTAAACTAGATACCCTAATAATGATTATGGCCAAGTATGGTTAAATTTGTCTCAGTAGTTTCAGAGCAGAAGATTTCTGTAAAAGATTACAAAAATTTACAAAAATTGTTAAAAATTGACTATTAAGGGCAATAACTCCTAAAGGGGTCAACTGACAATTTTGGTCATGACAACTTATTTGTAGATCTTACTTTGCTGAACATTATTGCTGTTTACAGTTTATCTCTATCTATAATAATATTCAAGATAATAACCAAAAACTGCAAAATTTCCTTAAAATTACCAATTCAGGGGCAGCAACCCAACAACAGGTTGTCAGATTTGTCTGAAAATTTCAGGGCAGATAGATCTTGACCTGATAATCAGTTTTACCCTTGTCAGATTTACTCTAAATGCTTTGGTTTCAGAGATATAAGCCAAAATCTACATTTTACCCCTATGTTCTATTTTTAGCCATGGCGGCCATATTGGTTGGTTGGTGGGGTCATCGGACACATTTTTTTTTACTAGATACCCTAATGATGATTTTGGCCAAGTTTGGTTAAATTTGGCCCAGTGGTTTCAGAGGAGAAGATTTTTGTAAAAAGCTAACGACGACGATGACGGACGATGGACGCCAAGTGATGAGAAAAGCTCACTTGGCCCTTCGGGCCAGGTGATCTAAAAACACATACCATTCCCCACCCCCTCTTGCACTTAAAATCCCCATGGTGATTTTCAAAAGTAGGCAAATAAGATTGTCTTACACAATTCTATTTTTAGTAGGTATGGCTTTAGGCAAAGTGACTTGAAAATCATTAGAAATCTTATTCTTATCATATATGTGACTGACCATGTATTCAAGTAAGGTTGCAATTCTATGTAAAATCTACTGATACCACTTTTCCGAGTGCACTAATTTTTATCTTTTTGGTAGCTTTGACCTTGACTGTAGACATAGAAACATCAAAGGCCATAGCGATCCTCCTCTTGTTAGAATTAAGTGACCATATATTGGTATGATTACATTGCAATCCCATCATGTCCATATTATGTAGTTTTATTTAGCATCCAGAATCCACTTTTCTGTATAAACTTTGGTCTGTTTTTAGTATCTATGATCTTGACATTAGACTAAGTGACCTCAAAATCAATGGGGATCTACCTCTCATTATATGTCACCATATATTAAGGTAAGGTTACTATCAATCCCAGATTTAGGATTTGACATAAGGCAGTCATCATGCTTGGCCATAGTCCCACCAGCCAAAGCTTCCTATTGGGCCTATGAGAATATCTATTACATATCTACTGAATCAATAGAATCTAAACAAAATCATCCAAAAATTGAGAGTGAGGCCTTTTCCTGCAAAATTTAATCATGAATATATAATAGCAACCACTTTTCTGCATAAATTATGATGTATTTTTAGTTGCTTTGACCTTTCAGGTATTGACCTCATAATCAATAGGGGTTATCCTGTCATTATGTGTGGCAACATATATACATGTATATATCCAAGTAAGGGTGGAATCCAATACATTGTATTTGATTAAGCATCTGGAAACAGCTTTTTTTGGCAAAAATTTAGTAGCTATGACCTTGAACTTTGACATGGTGACCTCAAAATTAATAAACATCTTCCTGTAAAAATAGGTAACCATATATTTAAGTAAGTTTGCAATCCAATATCAAAGTACAAAAATATATTTGAGTTAGTATTTGGAAATCAAAATGACTGCAGACATACAGACTGACAGACAAGTCTTTCTCCTCACTTCATACATGGAGCATGGGGTTTTAAAACATGGGAGGACTTTTTGTTTTTTTATTTTGCTAGCCCCCTCCCTACTCTCCTCCTCTCAAACATGAAAACTTTGAAAATTCTGAGTTCTGAAGTTTTTTAGGCAGCTATCATCACTCAAAAAATGGCAGTTTTTTAAGTGAAAGGATTAAAATTTTGAAAAAATTCATGAAATCTCAGCTGTAAATTCTCATCTACCACCGCCTAATCCTTTTCATTTTAAGAATTTTCTCCAGTCTGTTTTTTGTGTCACCTGACCATTTCATACTTACTAAATTTATCAATTTGTAATTGTATTGTAAATTCTGAAATTTTAGCATGCATTTATTTTTAAGCTTTGTTGTTGAAAAAAATAAAAGCCGAACTAATTACTACGGTTTTAAGGAATGCTGCGTACAAAAAAAAGCTAAAAAATAAAATCCAATTTTCTATTTTTGCAAAAACTGTGCTGTAAACAATTTTCGCAATAGTAAAAACATTCCAAAACTTTCTTAATTTACAGTATATGAAATTGAAGAATAGAATCCACCCACCCGATCTTTCTAAATGAGGAGGTGTGGTATGATTGCTAGTGAGATAGACAACTTTCCACCAGAGTTAAAATGAAATGGTAGTAAGCAATTATAGGCCACTGTACGGCCTTCAACAATGAGAAAAAACCCATACCATATAGTTGGCTATAAAAACTAATTGCAATTAATAAATAAATAGTGTTCTCCCAGACTAAAGTATCAATCAGTACACATCCAATGGATTAAGTGTAAAGATAAGATAGCTAAGTATGAAGATGTGAATCTTCAGATGAACTTGATGTCAACCTATGATTTTGACTTTAATAAAATTGAGAATGGAAATGGGGAATGTGTCAAAGAGACAACAACCCGACCATAGAGCAGATAACAGCCGAAGGGCACCAATGGGACTTTAATAGTATTTTATGGATAATGGAAAACTAAATTAGGGTAGAGAGTTCAAAATAGATAAGGTTGGGTTACAGTAAACACACATACTTTTTATTTTGGCCTTACAGCAACTTTAAAAAAAAAATCAAGGGATATATTAACTGCATTTTTGCAGCCCATCAAAAAATAGATGTAAATGTAGATGATTTTTTTGTGAGCATTTCATTAATTTATTGATAATTTGGAACTCCTCTGCAGCTCTGTTACCATGGTAAAAATAAAAGAAAAAAGATCAGAAACAACTTAAGTCTGAAGAGAGTAAGTATAATGCCAAAGTCAGAAATGTTCTGGGGCATAAGAAGACAGGAAATTTATTTTGTACTAAATTTTACTATATCTTTTAGTCATCAAAAGTAAGGGAGATCTACATGTATATATTGAGTGAAAATATATGATTTTATTAAACTGCATTCAAAAATGTTCCACTAAAATTTGTACATGTTTTATTGATTGATTATTGTTTGAATAATGTCCAGAGGCAACTAGGTAGTTCATGCATATATATAGAGAAAGAACAGGTTCTGCCAAATAGTTGACAAAGATGAATTTTGGAAATTTTAACTGCTATCTCAACCAAATGATCATTTATAGATCAGTCCTTCCTATTGAAATATAGCTACTGCATTATGTGTTGTGGCAGATACATTAAGGATACGTTGGAAAATTTCTAGGTCCTGCACAAGTAAAAACGAAAACCAGAAAAAATATAAATGTATTTTATAGATTTGCCTGTTTGCTGGACTGTTGTACATGTTGTATTAGGTGAGAAAATTACCTGCTCTCAGAAAAAGAAGAGTACTAAACATTGACAATGCCACTGGACAAAATACACCAGCAAAAGTCCCAAGAGTTCTATTACTGGACCTAGGTCTGGTAGGATTTCCATCATTGCCATCTGGTATTTGGTAAGCATTGGACTGTGACATCTGCCAAACCAAGCGTGTCCTTGGTGATGACTGGCCAGACACTAAAGGTGAATGTTCGTCATCGACCTCAGAAAATGATCCAGTTGTTGACGAATTCATTCTTTGCATTGGTGTTGAAGGGAGCTGAAAAATATGATATACATGTAAACATTATATTTCTTATATCTTATATAATAGGCAGACAATGACAGAAGGGGAAAAAGGAACATTCAATCATCCATTTGGTTAAGATGTCAGACAATAAAATATCCGAACAGGAGATTTTGAATTTTTGTTACATGGTTTTGAAAAACATTTTAGATATATAACAACAACAAATCAAAGTACTGAAGTACTGAACATCGGATGACCACAAAGTCCTTGTGGATGGTCAAAAGCACTTGTCTCAGGAAAAAAATCACATATCTCTTTACCTGAAACTGAAATTAATGTACAGAGAATTATTTTTTTTCTGAGACAAGTTTGTGTGTGGATGACGAATAAATGACAGGAAATTACACTTCACCGTAATAACTATTATGTTGTAGTGATACAAATCTGTATACACTGATTTGTATACACTGATTTGTTGGTATATATTATATTAAAATAACAGTTACATGTATATATGATTTCCATCCATTTGTATATCATTCTATTCTTCTATTCTACTTATGATAGTGCAATGCAAGTGCATGGCGGACACTTTTCTGTAAAAATTCGATTTTTCTAAAAGTTTGGATACGAGTTTCCATTCATATTTTCATATTTTCCCGCAAATTATATTTATTCGAACCGGAAGTCCGCTTATTGAGAATATTGTGTCACGTTCCCAGACTATCGGTACGTGTGCATTGATATAATCAATGATTTTTTACTTATATATATATATATATATATACTACAAAACATTTTCATATTATTAATTAACAAAAATATTTGTATCAGTATTCATTGAAGAGATGTTTTTATATCAAACGATAAGGAATGTTATTTTGCACTAGTTTATGTTCGTGTATTTATCATGTTTATAGATCGGTTAAAATCCCAAAACTAATTTGCATAATTTATGCATTAATGGAAATTTAGGCGATAGCAATACATCGAAATGACCTCAAGGTCATCGCGATGTAAAAATCGTGAAATTACTAAAAATAGACATTGTAGCCTTGATCTATTGACAAAAAAATCTGCAGGGGTCTTTCTAAGGGACATTCTCCATTATTCTCAAGCTAAGTTTGATGAATGTTGGACACACATGTATGGTTCATAAGATATCACCTGGAAACCAAAAGTTGCCAAATTTCTAATCTATCTGCTGTGACCTTGATCTTTGATTTAATGACCTCAAAATCAATACTGGTCTTCTTCATCTCAAAATACATTATATCTCCAATTTTAGTCCATCAATAGCTGCTGAACCCTTATCTCATGCGACATTATCAAACAAATTTTGGTAACAGTTGGGCATATGGTTCAAAAGTAACAACAGGGCACCAAACCAAAGTTTTGTCCAAATTTCAGAAGCTATCAATTGCTGCTGTGACCTTGACCTTTGGCCCTAAAATCAACAATGTTCTTCATCACACTATTGGGCATAATCAAATCAAGTTTGGTAAAGATGTATATAATTTGTAGAAGGTCCAGTAACAATAACACTTTAAGGAAGTGTTGTTGTTACTGGACCTTCTACATTTTATGTTTTTATAGTAACGACCCTGCATACCCGAGGTATCCACTTTATGGAATCTACTGACAGAAGATCTACCAGGCGTTGGTTCACTTGTGTTTAAATTAGATATATATAATTATTAAAAAATTATAAACGAGTCTAAATTGAAAACAACGTTCAAACCTATGATTGCGTTGGATAAAAAACGCAATTTTTATATGTGTGCATGCAAAACAAATTTCTTGGTAAAGGGGTCTAAGTACAGCACAAACAACATTTTCCAAAAGACCAAAAAAGTGACAGAGTATATTTTATTAAAATGCATTTGACTTATTATTAAAAAATTGACATACAGACACCTGGACACCATTATAAACATTGAATATTAGGAATAAGATTCTATTTAAAAGATTAACCATCTCTGGATTAGGAGGGTTTCCAGGATAGTTTGAAGACAATGGTAAGATATAGATGAGCAAAAATTTTTAGATTTCTAATGATGAATTTGGTCATCACCTTAAATTTCTTAAGAAGGTCTGTGACCTGTATTTGTTCCCATCTTTGTCCTTTGTTTGGTTGCATGTTGGTCTATATTGTCTCATTGGCAGTCATACCTACCATATCTCCTAATTTTCATATTGTGTTTTGACGTTTTAAATTTTCTAACATATCTACATATACCATAGATTTATGTTGATGTTTATGAATGTTTTATAATTTTAAATTTAAGTGCATATATACGTAGTCATTGGAACAATTTACTACTCAAATTTTTAAAAACAGTTTTTTGACAAACATAATGTTTACATGACATAAATTGCTTTTTCTAAATCTATTTTTTGCTCTTTTCAAGTCTTTTGATTTATAACTTATCAAAGAGAATAATCTTACATCATTTGTAAAATGTACAGTTATATATAAATTATAACTTCTGTAAACAAGTAAACCACTGGTGATCCTTTTGTATGAATCTGTATGATATACCCTATACTCTAGAACGAGTAATTATTTCAACAGAATATTAATTTTCAACTACCCTCGATAAGTTTAATAATCACCCAAAATAATAATTTTCAAATGTGATATGCTTTCCTTGCTTGAATCTGACAGAAGCAAAATCTATCACGACACCTTTTAATTGAGTACATAAAATTTTTGATGAGATATTTTTTTGCTTAAGGGAGCCTCCATGGCCTAGTGGTCTAAGTAGTTGAACTACTGTATCACTAGCCTGTCAACACTAAGGTTGTGAGTTGGAATCCTGTAGGGGCAGGATTGCGCTTGACTCCAATCTTAATTGACTAGGATTTTCAGTTTTCCTACCAAAGGTCGGTGGTTCTCTCCAATAATAGCACTCCGGCTTCCCCGACCAATCAAAACTGACCACCACAAAATAGCACAATAGTGCTGAAAGTGGCATTAAGCACCAATCAATCAATCAATATTATTGCTTAATAAATATATATATTATTGAAATTATCAAGTCCTCAGAAAAAGTATGCTTGATGCTCAGTCAGCATCATGAGCATGGTGGGAAATTATTTATTCAAGTATACTTTAATATTATCATAAGTAACATCCTAATTTTTACAAATCACATTTAATATTTTCATTCTTTTATTGTTCGATAAAAATTTAAAAAATTATACATGTGGAAAGAAATGTCCCAAATTTAAAAAGGTTCATGTAGAATCATCCCATGAAAATTTGTTTTTCTTAATCATCATGCATGATCATAAATATTTTGAACTTGAAGTCAAAAGGAACAAAATTTAAAGCACTCTCATAGAAAAAGGTAGAATACAAAAAAGGTGAATTACTCAGCTACAAAATCACTTTTTTGGTGTAAACTCTCGGTTTGTTTGGTTGTGTTTAATGCCACTTTCAGCTACATGTGCCATGGCTATACCATGGCAGTGAGATTTTATTGGTCGGGGAAGCATAAACATAACCACCAACCTTTGGCAGAAAACTGAAAAACTTGTCAATTAAGATTAGAGTTAAACACATTGCTACAAGTGGTATTGGAACTCACAACCTTAGAGTTGACAGACTAGTGATTACTAGTACGGTACTGTAGTTGACTGTTTAACACTAAAAAAAGTGTATGTAGACCACTTACCCAAAGAGGCCCTGTTGCTACTATAAGAAACAGCAGATGACTTAATACTTAAATCAAATTAAAAATAAGGTATAAAAATATATATGATATTATTTTTCTTCCTAACTTTTGTGGACTTACCATGGACAAAAATTATAAGTCCTGTGAATCACCTACAAAAATCATTAATACAGTTCTTGCAAGAAGCCTGATCAAGCAAATGGTACAGTCTAAGTCAGAGAGTACTCAGTGTTGCATATATATATTGGAATTACATGTGTATATATTGAAAACATAGTAACCACTAAAGAGGAAAACAATGAACAAAGTAATCATGGTTATGATGGTTATGTGAAATAATTTACACATAAAACATATAAGCACTTAAAGCAGTGGAGCGGCACCACTACAGTACGGTCTATCTAGTTATGGATTACTACACTGGCATCCAGCAGACCTGTACATGTGCCAGCAACCATCCTGAATAAATTGTTCCAATCAGCATTCTCCATCAATGCAAGGATTCATACATTGTTTAGCCCATATAACATGTATAAATTCAAATCATGATGTCTTAATTTGACAGGTCAATAACACTTTGTCAATACTTGTGTCATATGTCAGGTCAACACCCCTTTGCTTACATGTAACACAAAATGGAGTATAAAAACTACAATAAAATTTTTACAAAAGTATGAAGAAAATTAATCCAAAATAAATGAAGAATGTGTCTGAAGACATGAATGCCACCGCTCATGCTTTGCAACGAAAATGGGATGGATGGACGGACAGATGAAGGACGGACGGTCAAGGGTAACATTTATTGCCCTCTGTCACCTTAAAGGCGGTCATAAAAAGCATCAGGACCAGTTTTCATGTTACTTATTTTTGTGGATTGAATAAATTTTGCATTTTCGTGGATATTTTATTTGATGCAAAATTAATTTCTGCATATAAACAGATGGAAAATTGGTATTTCATTGAACTTTTTAATTTGTGGTTCAACAATGTTCAACTGTACCCATAAAACCCACAAAAATTGGTATCCCAAGAATAATTTTGAATCCACAGTGTTTTTTTCAGTAAGGATTGTTACCAATAAAGGACATTTGGTTAATTTGCCTCATTGCTATAGGAAAAATACTAACAAGGGATAAAAGTGATATATTTTTGATTTGTAGTAAATATATAAACATGATCACTGATGATAAAGACAAATGAATATTATGTATAATAACAATGGTGGATGAACAAAAATGATGAGGCAATTTTTGCATCTGACACATATCAACATATATTATTTACTGTATATTCAGAAATTATTGCATGCATTTATTATTGCTAGACCAGAATTGACATCTGGCAAAAATG